GTCAAGGATAGACAGATTTACCAACGCAACAGAGAATTTGAAAGAGATGCACATGTATGTGGAACTTTAATATGTGACAGGTAGCATGGGAAAAGGAAGAACTATTCAAAACCAGAGCTAGAAAATTCAGTTATCTAAAGAGGAAAAAAATGCATTTGGATCTCTATCTCACACTACAGACAGAAATAACCACTAGAAATGTTAAAAATTTAAGTGTCAAATACATGACTTTAAAACTTTCTGTGGAGTAAGTTTTGTTAACTTTGGGGAAGAAAATAATTTATTAAAGCACAAATGTACTAACCATAGAATAAAATATAGATAAATTTGATTACATTGGTATTAATATTTTTTTGCCCATCAGAGACATCATAAAGGAAGTGAAAAGATAAGCTACCAACTGAGAGAAAATATTTGCAACACATATAAAAGACAAAGAATTAGTAGGAAAATACATAAAGAAATCATACACATCAATAAGAAAATAAATTATCCAATAGAAAAATGGAATATTATACAAACATTCATTCTACAGAAGAAGAAATTTTTATGTGAATTACATATTACATATGATAAAATATGAATTAATTTTCTTTTCAGATGAATCAAAATATTCAGACCATACAGTAAAAAGAAAAGAGAAAATATATTGTATTTTCTTACTTTCACCCTTCATGCTTATACTTTCTTCCCTCAAAAAAGAATTTTTTCCTTCAAAAAAATTTCTACCATTCCACTCTGTGGTCACACATATATAAATGGTACTGATCTTCCAGAGTACTAGTCTTTGCAGGTACAAATATTTTATGTGATCATATGACTTCTCACACACTCATACACTTATGCATTCTTATATATTTACATTTAGAATGTATATATTAATTCAGCACCTTCTTTATGCCAGGCATTGTCCTAGACTCTGAGGAAATGAAAAAGGCAAACAATTCCAGGAAAAAATGGATAATAAAAAAGTAAATTATTGTTATATTAGAAGGTGCTAGGTACTATGAATGAAAGTAGAGCAGCAAAGAGAAATCAAGTGATACCAGAATTGGTATGTGTGTGCACTTTTAAATTGGGTGGTCAGGAAAGCCACAATAAGAAAGCAGTATTTGAACAAAAACTTGAAGGTGGTAAGGGACTGAACCACGCTTATGTCTGAGGGAAGAAAATACCAGGCGAAGTAAACAGCAAGTGAAAAGACTTGAAGGCAGGAGCATGCTGACATGTCTGAGAAACACCAGGGAGGTCATTGTGACTGCAGTGGAGAAAGAAGGGGGGAAGAGTAGCAGGAGATGATGTCAGAGAGTAAATGGGAGATGAGAGCATAGGTCATGGAGGTACTTGTAAATCCTTGTAAAGACTGTATATATTTACAGTCTTTACATTCTAGACAAATAACATTCTTTGTCATGTTGCTATGGTTGTTGACCTAAGTCTATTTTGTCTAAATATAAGTATAGCTCACCTTGCTCCCTTTTGGTTTCCATTTTCATGGGATATCTTCTTCCATCCCTTTACTCTGAGCTGATTTGTGTCCTTAACAATGAAGTGAGTCTCTGTAGGCAGTACGTACTTGGGTCTTTTTTAAAAACCCACTTAGTCACTTTAGGCCTTTTGATTCGAGAATTTAATCCATTTACAGTTAAAGTAATTATTGATAATTAAGGACTTACTAATACCATCTCAATTGTTTTCTAGTTATTTTTTAGTTCCCTTGTTTCTTTTTTCCTCTGTTGCTGAATTTATTTGTGAATTGATGATTTTCTATAGTAATATGCTTTGATCCCTGTCTCTTTTCTTCTGTGTATATACTGTTTTTGCTTTGTGGTTATTGTGAGACTTACATAAACATCTGACAAATATGGCAGCCTACTATAACAACATAACGTTGTGTGCATGTAAAAACTCTATCCATTTTAATACCCATTCCATTTTATGTTTTTGATGTCTTAATTTTCCTCTTTTTTATATTGTGTATCATTAACAAATTATGGTAGCTATATTAATTTTTAATACTTTCGCCCTTTAGGGTCAAGTGATTAACATAGAGCAAAGCATCTAAATATATTAAACAATACTTAGAAAAGAAAAAGAGGGGCTTCCCTGGTGGCGCAGTGGTTGAGAGTCCGCCTGCCGATGCAGGGGACACGGGGTCGTG